GTAAAATTGGCTAGCTTTACAGTGTTAAATATTTAAACAGAACATAATTGGCTTTAAATTTATGGTGGTGTATAGCAGAAACCCATGAAATGGCAGTATATATTGAGCTCATTTATTATCCTTTCATCAGAGTTCTGTTCCCTTGGCAAGTATTTATTTAACACAAGAAAATGTATGCAGAATTAAGAGGAAGGGCTGATTAAGAAATAAGAGGGAGGAAAAGCACCTTTTTTTTTTTCCTAGGTCATTTTGTTCAGTCCATCCAGTTTAGCAGTGATGAGAGTCCTGATGCCATTAATTCTGCTTAGTAGTCCTAACTCTGTGAGCTTGGTGGTCACAGCAGAAAACTGCATCAGGGATAACTTTTGTGCCTGTGCTACCAAATAGCAAAGAAATCAAGGACTAACTGGATTAGATCACAGGGACTGACCTAAATCCTGTGCTGTAGGATAAGCTCTGCTGCCAGATGTGGGAAGAGTTTGACTCCTGCTGTGTGGATAAATCCAGGTGGGACATGACACATGTAAATCTGTAACTGTTGATGTTTACACGAGAAGATGCAACTGATGCTTCCCTGAAATCGGGTGAGGGAGCTGCTGCTCTTCAGTGGACACAGAGTTCAGCTGCTGTTCCTGTCTGCATTCAAAAGCCACTCCAGTGGCAGACCAAAATATTTTACCAACTTCTGTACCTGATTTTTCAGGTGAATTGGCAGGTTCAGTACTCTGCTTGCAAGGCTGTACTGCCTGTTTAATTAACCATTGTTACCTCAGAGCAACACCTGTCACAGTGTGAGACTGGAACTTGAGCTTCTCCTGAATGGATTGGGGATTACATCTGTGAGAGACTCGAGCTTTTCCTGTGCCATCAGTCAGACCATTCTCAGCTGGTGGCATGGAATAGGGGTGGAAACTGCCGTGGCTAGACAGCAAATCCATCTTCTTTAGGTCAGCAGTATTCCTCTGGGAATGCATACAAAGTACTTGTCTTAAAATGTTTGATAAAAATCTAGTCTTTGCTACCTCTTAATACTTTGTTGGAAAGCCACAGTAGAAAACATGTCTCCATAAAAATGCAGGTGCTTGAGGAGAAGAAGCGGAATTCCACACTGTTAGGAGCTACTGTGTGTAGTTGAAATCCCAATCCATAGCTTCAGCTGCCATGTTTATGCAGACTTAGAACAGAAGCAAATGCCTATGAAAGGTGGGCAGAATTTCAGCCATCTTCAGAGAGCTAGGATCTCACACTGGATTACTTGGATTGTCTTTTTTGAAATGTTAATCACTTCTTATTTTTCATATTGTTAGTTACCTTTTCTGTGTAGCCAAATCCTACCTCTAAGCAAATGCATTTCAAGTGGTTTTTAAACTCAGGCAGTTTTAGTCTCACTTGGCCAAAACTAAGAGGTCATTACAGTTGGTCAAAACACAGAAGATAAATGAATTTTGTTATCTAGCAAAGTTGGGAAGTTTCTCATAAATGGTTTTGGTGAAGGCATAAAGAGCGTTGGCAACTTGAAAATTAGCCTTGAAGTTTGTTTGAAATAAAGGTGTGAAACACAAGCCCCTTGGACTTCTGCTTTGCCTTCTCCTTCTGCAACACCCTCAGCACACATGCACATCACCAGACAAGGTGAGTGGCTCTTGATCAGAACTGGAGTTTAGGGGGTTATAAAACAAGATTTGGTCATTCAGGAGCACCCACAGATCGATGTGAAAAGAAGAAATGAGCGTGAGGAATCAGACATGGAGGGGAACAGAAAAGCCCCTATGGCCCAAATGTGGGTACTTGATTCCATCCTCTTGTCTATCTTGGAGGTTTGATTGGAGCACAAGCCAGTTCTGCTTCATGTGCCCATCCAGAAGGCTCCACAGTCAAGTCCATCTCCCCCCCACATTGTTCTGTGGGCTATACAGGTATTTAGCTTTTCATACAATTAATTCTGTTGCCTCTTCAGTTAATCTGACAGCTCTGCTAACTAGTGCCCAGCCTGGGGGCTGTTGGCCAGAAGGTGAGGCAGCAGCAAATCCGAAACACACTGACAGTTGTGTTTTGGTGCCATCATCACAGTGCCATCATGGAGCTCCTGCTGCTGCCAGTCCTGCTCCCCCCAGTGCTGATGAACCCCTAGTTTGTGCAGGAGTTCAGCTGGGTAATGGCTAATATGGCAAACAGACAAGTTGGAATTTGTCTTTTTGTACTCTGGATGCCCAGGACTGGCTCAGCTGGAAGCTCCTGCTCTCCCCCTTCTCCACCAAGCCTTCCTGAAGAGGTCTGAGTTTCTGTGCTGTAGGACACTAAACCCTGACCCCTGCACAGCTTCCCCTTCCATGTTTTTCACACTTAATTCAGTTTTTGAAAGAGCAGGGGAATTCACTGCACACAAATTACCAACAGATACTGAGGATCCACTCCAGCAGTTTTCTGCAGAAAATGCAAATGATGTGGGGGGAAAAAAGACAATCACACCAGATTTTCATGTAAATAGTTTAATTATATTTCAATGCTTAAAACACAGAAACACTTGAATTAAATTACATCATAATGCTTCTGCTAAATTATACATACACTCCCAAGAACTGTGAGGAGGTGCTATGGAACTAAAAGAATACTCCAGTACAAGCCCAGCAAATACCCGTAATATTCTTTTAGCCTTATTATCTGTACTTTAATCTAAGGGCAGTCATCACAGGACACAAAGCCTACCATCACAGGAAGAATGTCTGGAGAGAATTCCTCTGCAGGTGTGTTTGTTGTACAAGGTTTATCTCGGTATTAGCGTGGAACAGGGTGCAGTCTTTGCACCTGAGCTGGCACATGCACTGCTGGGCAGCTCCCAGGGCAGCACACAGAGCTGGGGGAGGAGCACTATGTGGGCTGTGGGACTGAGGAAACAGCTCAGCTTACACTTGCCTTTTATTGAGTTTAAAACAACCAATTAAGTTCTGATCCTAAGATTTCTGGGAGAAGCACTGCGATTTAGGATGGCCGTGCACCCCCGCTGCCCTCTGCATCCCTGTCCTGCTGCAGAACTGGGGCTGTCCACTCCCAGTGAGCACCTGGAAAAGGTAAGTGTGTGTGTGTGTGTGTGTGTGTGGAGGGGTGCTTGTTTCTCAGCTGGTCATGACCTCTGGGAAGACCCACAGACAGCGCTCAAATTCCAAGGGCTAATCTCGATTAAACTGAGTATTTGTACCCAGGCACCTTCCTTCCAACAGCATCCCTGGAGGCAAACAGCAGCAGCCCAGGAATGCCTCCTGCCAGGTCTCCTGGCTTTGAAGGATGAGCTGTTTTCTACACTCCCAGTCCTAATGTACTCCCAGAACTCCCTAGTTTTTACAAAGACAGCAGGATAGTGAGAAGTTGAAGCAACTTAGCCCTGCAAAGCTGCCATGAGGGCAGCTGTGTCAGTGAAGGAGGGAGGGCTGGTAAGGAGCTGTGCCCTGCAGGGGTCAGTGGCACATGCCCAGGAAAGAGCCTGCATTTGATGAATATGGAAAAAACAATCACAGTGGGGAAGGAAAAAAAATATTTGGGAGAACGAAAACTAACTGGCAGGTCCAGACTTGCAGCAAAGCACACGATACCTGAATTGCCATTCTGAAACATCCCCTTGTATAAAGCTTTGGATCTGCATTCAAATTTTGGCTTGCCCTGATTCTGCTTTGACTGTGGATGGAATATGATCTGATTGACAAACGCACGTACCAGAAAAAGATCAGGAGGGCTCAGGGCAGGGCTGGGCACTGGTGCTGGGCACTGCTGTGCTGGTCTGGTGCCCACCAGCAGAGAACAGACCCCACACTGCACTGCCACGTGCCAAGGTGGCCAGAGACCCCTTTGTACTCTCTTCCTCCTGCAGCCCTGAAGGATGCCCAGGCAGAGAGATGCTTCAGGGCTAAGGGAAACTCCTGGCTTACCTGTCTAGTCCCACCTACCTGTTCCTAGCAGGTGACATGAGCAGAGGCTAACACAAAGCTCTGTGTTCCCTTCAGCGGGAAGAAGAGAAGGCTCTGACTGCAGATCCTGGCAGGTAAGGAGGTACAAACCAGCTGTTAGTCACCTCTGGAGGCAGCCATGGAGCTGTTGTAATGTTTGAGCCAACACATGTTTTTCTTTATTTAAAAGAAAATATTTCAAAGCTTAATCTTTTTTTCTGGATAACACTCTGCCCTGTAGAAACTTCCCTGAGCCAAAGCAGGAGGGGATACGAGATACTGGAACCCCAACTCAACTCCTCTTTGTGGCCCAAGCACTGTTATTCCTAGTTCAGCAGCACAGAGTCACACAGCCAGACCCTGACAGCCCCTGCCTCTGGCTGTGTGAATTCCACTCTGTCTGTACAATAGCCCTGATTTGGGATATTCAGCCACTTCCTCAGTTAAGATGTAACTGGCCAAATGTTCTCTCACTTTTTAAAGCTAGCAAATTCCCTACGCTTCAACATCACCCTGGGTGCTCGTTTATCAGCAGCCCACACACCACAGCAGGGATAAACCCCTGGTGTGTGTTTTCCCTGGTGTGCCCCAGTTACCACTCAGCTCTCCTTGCTCAAAGGGGTTTTGCCACCAGTCAGCCCCCACCACCACTCCCAGGACCTGCCAGAGCTGTGGTCACTGCACAGAGAGGCTCATTCATTGCTTCCCTTGGGGCCTGGTGACACAAAGCCAAGGGGGAAGATGTCTGAAACGTGCACCTCTCCTCCTTCCCTGGCCCAGAGAGCCCACACATGTGCTCTGACAGGGTAATCCACACAAAGCAGGCGCCGTTCCGAAGCACAAAGCCTGGCAGGTGGAATCAGCCAGCGCCAGCCCAGAAACGGGAGCTCGGGACCTTTCAGTGGGAACAGGCGCACCAAAAAATCACCACTGCCCTCACGAAGGGTTTGCTTCCCAGAGGGGTGGCAGGGCCCGTGCCCACCGGTAACACAAACCCCCGGGGTGCCCAGCGGGGCTCAGCGGCTCGGCCGTGCGGGCGGGAAGTCACTGCTCTGCTGCCTCGTCCTCGGCGCGGGCCCGGCGGGGCAGGTGCTGTCACGCGTGGATGGCGTTGGCCACGTCGGTGAACACGAGGCGGCTGGGTCTCTGCACGGCTCCCTGGCCGGCCAGCAGCACCTGCGGGGGCAGGAACGGGTGAGAGCCAGCACAGCTGCCCTGCTTCGGCACTGCCCTGCTTCGGCACTGCCCTGCCTCGGCATGGGCTGCACTGCTGGACCCGGGTTCATCCCCCCCAGCGGGGCTGCCTGGCTAACACGGCATTAGTGAGGCTGTGACACGAAAATACAACAGGCTGGGGAGTAAGGCAGCACATCCATGCCAGGTGAAAATCCCCACATCATTGGATTACTGGGTCTCCCTATTTATGTATACAAGGCAGCATGAAAGGACTTGAGACATCAAGGAGGCCTGGAAACATGCCACTGCCTGAACTCGGGCTGTTGTTTTTGACTCTCCCTCTCTTATTATGTTAAGCCTTTAAACTCTTTTACTTTCCAAGCACAGGTATCTGCGTTAGCAAGCTCTGGAGGGATCTGAGGTGTCCTGCTGGCCAGTCCCTGTATAGGAAGGATCTGCTTTTACTGTACTAAGGTTACTTCTGCCTTTATAATTTCCCCCCTCTACTACCTGCAGGGAAGTCCCCTGTGTGGACTAATAGAGGGATCTGATGTTTTCCCAGTATGTGCTACTCTAAGGACAAGATCTTTTGCTTTTATACAACTCATTTCTTGCTTTCCCAAACCAGCATATTCTATAGGTTGACTATCTTTCATATTCAGACACACACATCTCCTTTGTGCTCTTCAGCAGGCTGGGTAAGGTCAAGGTAAATATTTTATAATTACATTTCTATTTAGTATCTCCTCTTTCGCTTTCTGCCCACACAAAGCTTGCTACGGATTATCTGAAGGTGTAAAGACTGAGAATTGTTTGGGAGAATTCCTGCTCCTGGACAGGAAAAGAGAAGAAGACGTGGGCAGCACAGAGCAACTGGTGAGGCATTCAAGAAAGGAGAGGCTGTATCACTGGCTGAGATGTACCTGTTCCAACCATCCCTGCTGGCTCTCAGAAAGGCTTTTTGTGTGGTGGAGGTGACAGAGGACACAGAACACTGTGAAACTGGCTTCAAATGATGGTGAGTAGCCCTTCTTCCCTATTTCTCCTACCTCCTGCTACACTGGGAAGGAGATATTCTCTTGTCAAAGACCCACCTGGGCCGTTAGTCAAAAATTATGGGCCAAAGTATCAAGCTCTTTCTAACTCACAGATGTAATAAGTCAATGGTCTCTGAGGGCCTGGTAATTTCTCAGCACACTGCACACCTTGGAGCACTCAGAAGGGGTCAAAGCTGCTTCTTCTCTAACCCCAAACTCAAATAGAAAACCCTGCTCCCTTTTGTGCTCTGTGCCCAGCAGGGCTGGCCTGGAAGTGCAGACAAGCCCAGCTGTGCTGTGCCCCAGCAGTGAAGGCTCTCTGTCTGTGTTCTTAGGGCTTCCAGCACAATTAGCTCTTTCCCTCAGCAAGGCCTTGTTCCACACTTCAATCCTTAGGCAAAGTGGAGATAGCTTGGAATTGGGTGGAAATTACTTGTTTTCAGGGCAAGGGCAAAGGAGCCTTAGTGCTTTGTGGGCACTGAAGGCCTGTCTCCCAGAAAACTACATTCATCCTACTGCTCCTTTGTGGTGCCCTGGGTGGTAAAACTGTAGTAAACTCATCCTTAATTACTCAAGTTGCCCTTTTCTCTCTCTTACTTGAGTAGAACCAGCACTTTGTCTCCCCAGACACTTTGTCCTTGTCACCTGACTCCTCAGTCCATCCTAAGCACTCCAAAATGCTCAGGTCTCCAGGGCTGGCAGAGGTGAGGAAGTCCTCCTGAGGTCTTAGTTTACAAGCCCCCCCTGTGTCTGTAAGAAAAGCAGTGCAGGTACCCGTGGCTGTAGTAAGAGGTTCACTGGTCTTTCCTACCTTGCTCTGCGATGCCTGGGAAGATGCTGCATCTCGCCCATGTTCCAACAGCTCCTGCTCCAGTTCATCCTGTTCCTCAGTGGGATCAAAGTTGTACATGGGCATCAGCTGGTGCCGTAGCTTCTCCAACCTGCCCATGGGAGGGGAGGGAAAAGGGTTGGTTGAGAAGAACAGATGCTCAGGCTGCCTTCCCCACCCCACTGCCGAGGCTTTCTCCAGGCTGTTTGTCCTGCTGCACAGGGATTCTGCTCCTGTGGCTCCTGCTGTGTAAGGGCTGTGTCCTGTCCTGCAGGGATGAGGAGAAGAACCTACTACACGTAGCGGGCAGGAGTGGAAGACACCCAGAGTGCAGTTACAGGGATTAATTGCCATCACTAATCAATGTTGGCAGGCATTACACACAGAGGAATCAGACAGGGATTTAAGTTCCCACAGACCTTAAAAGATCAAGCACAAAAGAGCCAGTGGAACATATGGGCCGGGCATCTTGTGACTTCTCCCCCCATCCTTGTGCCCACAACAGCCCATCCTGCCATGTCACACTGTCTGCCAGCAGCAGGCCACTTCTTGCTCCAGTGACCTACCAGTACTTTAACTCCGGGGCTGAAGTACATAAAAATAAATAGAAAATAATAAACAATGAATAGAGAACAGGAAAGAGGGAGATTCTCACAGGAGGCTGATGCCTGCAGACAGACTGTTCCTGCTCTTGTATCATTGCTCCGAGAGACAGAGCTATGGAGTTTTACCCCAAGGAGTCTCCCTAAGTACTGGGCAGCTCAGGGATGGATGATGGATGGTGGGCATGGTCCTGGGAAAGCACTGAGCCCTGCCTCAGGCTGTAGCCGAGTTTTGGGGGGTGGCAGAGGGAAACACACAAGCAGTTACTGGCAGTGTCACCACAAATATCTATTTTGGCAACTGTGAGGATGACACATTCTTTCCTTGCTTCTAGATGGGTTTGCCAGCACAACCATTATCTCCAGCAGTGCTACTTTCACAGGCCAAGCATTAGCTGCTCCTGTGGCAGTATCCAGGCCTGGGCTGCAGGGTCAGGCTTGGAAATTTTACAGTGGGCAGCAGCTATTCTTGAAATCCTGTGGCCAGGCCAGGCCTGCCCCAAGGAATCAGGTAGGGAGGAGGTACCACAGCCAATGGATCTTCACTGGTCCTGCTGTCAGAGACAGAAGAAACAAATCATGTATCTTCCTGCATGCTGCTCTCTTCTTTATTTTCAGCTAGGAGCTTAGCAAGGAAATTAAGATACTAAGTCTTGGGCTAGAGAGTTGCATCTCTGCACTGTGCTGCTGCCAGCTGCTGTCACTGTCTGGGCTGTTGGAAAACAGGGATCTGGAGATGGCAGAAACCTGAGATTCACACCTTTCATGACAGAGTTCTCAGCTCCTTTATACACCCATAACTCTTTCCTCTGTTTTGGTGCATCTCACAGATGAGGAGTGAAGAGTCTGCAGGATCCCCAACCTCCTCCTGCTCAACCTTATTTTCCTTCCAAAGCTGCGGAGGAGTATTTGAAGCTCTGGTGTCAGAGGATGGGCCAGTGCCAGGAGTGCAGTGTCCCTGCCTGTCCCACACAGCTGATTCCTGCAGCCTTGCTCTCAGACAGCCCTCATTTATGCCCTCCCCATCTCCCTGTGTCCTTCCCAGCTCATTCTGGATTTTGAAGCACTGAGTTCCCTTCAGCCAACAACAGACATTACTTACCTCTTCCTCTTCCTGATATACAGAACCTGAAGGAGAAAGAGAACCACCATTACAACAGTCCTGGCAGGATGGGGAGCAGCCGAGAAATTTTGGGCACAGGGCACACAGAAGGGAGGTGGAGAAGGTTGGTGTCACTGTGCACCATAGCAGGGGGAAGGGAGAAGTGACAACTGGAAATGAAATTCCATGTGGATCAGTGTGAGCTTGGCAGCACATCATGTGTGGCACTAAGTGCTCGAGTGGCCTGTTATTAGGTGTGTTAGTAGGAGTAAGAGTATTAGGTGTATTATTAGGTGTAGCTCAGCACATTGCTGTGGCTGCAGGACGTATGCTGCAGTTTAAGAGTGGATGGAAAAGCTTCCCTTTGTGGTTTTCATCTGTAGAAGTGCTGCTACCCCCTCCCCAGCAGAAAGGGAAGAAGCAAAGAGGGCATGCTCAGGGACTTGCCTCGGTCAGCCGGAACGAGCGGCTGCGCTGGGAAGAAAGGGAGGCTTTGGGCCTCCACAGCCTTGTGCTGAGAGCTACGGACGCTGGAGGTTGCTCTTGGGAACTTATGACCATTTCCAGGTTTTCTTAGGGGCTTTTGGAAAAACTCCTCCCGGGGCCTGCAATGAAATTTTGCAGTAGGCTCCTCTGCTGGTTGTGTTAGTGAAGCCCTTCCTCGTACGAGGAATGGGAGCTTGCTGCTCCCCCCTCTTCTCTGTTGGCAGGGAAACGATCTGGTTACACATCAGAAGAACAACTACAGCATTTGCACTGCCTGTTTTGGGCCCGAAACTGTGGTTTCTGAAAGCTGCTGCCCACGGCATTAATGGCAAGGTTAGTGACACAGCAAACCCTCAAGGACGGATACCCAGCAAGCAGAGCCTGGGACGTGCAGTCCAGAGTGAGTCTCGCTAGGATGGATTCAGGCCACTTCAATTCAGAAACAATTACCCCATGTCCACAGGGGAGATCAATGTGGTTTCAACAGTCTGCTGTAAAAGTTAATTTGGATGAACTTTCTTGCAGGTCCCCAGTGTTGACAAGGTTTAAATCAATGCAACTGTTTCAGGTAACAAGTCAGAACAGAATATCTGCTTTGTGTTCTTTTAATTGAACTTCCTATTGCTATGAAAAACAAATAACTACATAAGGCTTCTTCTAGGCCTGCTGGGCATCCTGTTTGGAGACTTCAGGACCTGCAGAAATACTGGAGCACTGGATAAAGGCTTTAAAAAGAAAGGGATCTCAGGAACTATCAATACTTAGCAGTTCTGGGTGAGTCTTTAGTAGAATATAAATAAATTATTCAACCAAATCAGTCCTAGAACCCCTTGCCACCCTCCACCCTCAAGAGACAGAGGATTATTTAGCTGGGCTCTCTTACCATAGCTACAGCCAACCCAATCACAGTAATGATCCCAAAGGACAGCAGCATCGTGCTCATGCCGGCTCCAGTGCTGGCCACATCTGGGATTTTGGTGCTGTTGAAGCTGGTAGTCTCAGGGCTTATGGTGGCTGTTTCTGGCACAGTCACATCCAGAGCTGTCCCTGGGTCTGGCCTGGCTGTGGTGGGGGTGCTGTGATACAAGTCGTGCACAGAGGGTGAGCTGTAACTCATCCTGCCCGCTCTTGGGAGCTCCTGTCACCAAGCTGGCGTCCTCACCCATCAGAGTGCAGAGCTGCCCTTCCTGTGGAGGACCCTCACGTGAGAGCTGTCCTGGAGCATCACCACTGATGGGTTTCTTTCATAGGAACCACACTGGATTCTGCCTAGGAGAGAATGAGAACAGATGAACAGTGCAGAGCTCTTGGAGATGGGCACAGCTTTTTCCACAGTTCCCCAAATCACCAGGACAGTTTCTGAATGTCAACTCAAAGTAAGGAAAAGATTTTTCGGGGATACTGAGAGCCCCCAAAGCTTGATTCACTTAAGTCAGCAATAACTCTCCCCTCACTGCTCAGCTCTGCCTCCTTGCAGGCACTTGGCAGATCCATGTGGGGACAACTTCAGAACCCCTGTCTTTGGTCTGGCCCAGGCTGAACCAGGTGGTCTCTATCTGCCCCAGGAGACACAGCATTTTCCTGCTTCTCCTCTTGGACATTTTTGTAAAGTTACACATATCAGTGGGAACATATCCAATAAAATGACACTCAGCTGTGAGGCATCCATATCTCAGGATGCTTTTTATTGAATCCAAAGTAGGAGCTCCTTGTTGTGCTAGTCACTGGTGACATCCCATGTGCTCTGGAAACTGTGGGTTGCACTGGTCCCCCATGCTACTAAAGACACTGAGGTTTTTCTCAAATCCCCCAGGAAAGAACCCACTCAAGCTTAGTCATGCTCTGGTAATTATCAGTATTAATTTTAAAGTTAGTCCAATTTTGGATTGGAGTTGTGAAATTTGATAGATCTATTCATGCTGAGAGCATAAAAGGCTTTAATTGCTTCAGGCTTCTATTGTGCAAATGATCAGGAGTTGCAAAATGCTGTGGGATGAGCCTGTGGAAAGTATTTGCACACTTTGTTTATAAAACCACTGTATATAACATTATGCTTCATGGAGGTGCTTCCATGAAAATGGAGCTAACTCTGGAGCAGAGCTGACCCCAGGAAGTACTGTAGCAGTTCTCTGGTAACTTCTCTGCAGTTTAGCAGACATTACATGTCTGGGCTGGAATGCAGCTGGGACAGAGGGGTTAATGAGCTCTGAACAGAAAAAGATGTGCCTGCAAAGAGAAATGAGCCATTGTTCTGCTCCACTCTGCTCTATTCCAGGCAAGGTTACTGTGCAGTTCCCATACTGTGATGCCTTACTGCTGCCCACAGCTGCATCTCACAGCGTGATTAACATCTGTCACTAACTGCTGAAGCAGAGGAATCACACCAGGAAAGCAGCACCAGGCTGCCCTGTGGTCAGTCAGCAGCTGGAGCAGCCACCTTGACTCGTCCTGAATCTCCCTGAGCAGGTAAATGTCTTGCCACACATGCAGAGTTTGTCTCACAGGTCCCTGAGAACAACTTTGTGAAGCAAAGGGGGATTTTGAAGTGCCTGGGAGACTGTGGGAGCTGTTGAACTCCCAAGAGTTTCTAGAGAAAGGTGAGTAACAGCAGTTCTGGTCTGGTCCCTTCTAAGGTCGTGCTGAGTCATGAGTTCATTGCAGCTGAAAGGGACTGTGTCCTTCACTGACCACCAGACCATGGGCACCTGCTTTAAACCACCTGGACATCCCCAGCCATCACTGACCACAGCAGAGCTCAGCTGTAGTGGACACTGGGGCACAAAGGTGGCAAGTTTGAAATCAGTGTCACAACAGCAGCAGCAGCACCTACAGCCTAGCAGGGAAAGGGAAGGAATTATTGAGCAGATCAAGCAGCTGCTCAGACAGAATCCATCAATCTGTGCTATTCAGGGAAAGTCTCCATGATGATAATACCTATTTTTAAAAAAGCCGCTACCAAGGAAATAAAAAATTGAAAAAGTGAAAGGAGTGAAGCAGGCCCAAGGGCTTTGCAGAGAGCTTTTGCTCTAAATCATGAACAGCTCCTGAACTTTAGAAACAAAATGAGTTAGGCCTTCAGTTCAATGAAGTGTCAGTTTTGGAAAACCAAAGAAGTTAGGCTAGGTTAAAATGAGCCAGCTGAAAATCTGGTCTAGTGAGAACAGGGGCTCTCGTTCACACTCCCAGGGTCCTGTTCATGCTGATGATTCCCAAGCCCACAGACCGAGCTCTAGAAGCAGTTCTGTATGGAAGTTTTCTGACTTAGCTTAGACAACCAGGTCCAGGTCCAGGTGGGGATATTTCTGTTCCCAAGCCCCCTTGTGGTCCAGGTTGCAGAGGGCCAGATGGGGAGGCTGAGTGCCAGGATGGCCCAGGGCCCAGGGCTCACGCAGTAGAGCTGGGGGTGGATGATCTTTCCCACCACCTTCCTTTCCCCGTTGTCACTGGAGTGCTGGAAGTTTGATTTACAGGCTGGGCACACTCCAAGTCTCTGAGGGCTTTAGGGCCAGGGACAGATACTACCTATCACTGGCAGGATTTAGCACAGTCCATGCACAAATAGAAGAGCAACCAGATCCTCAGCTGCTGTGAGCTGGCATTGATCCATTGCCTGCACCAGCAGAGCTCCTCACACAGCCAGGACTGCTCTGTGCTGAGCTCTCTGCTGGGTCTGGGAATAAGGAGAATGCATTTGTTTCTCTCCTAAGCCAGCATTTCCAAACTGATCTCCGGTGGGTGCTGTGGTGGCCAACACGTCTGAGATGCAGAACACTGTTTCGGGCACTAGCTTGAGGCTCTTCTGAGTCTTGGTTTTAGTCTCTCTGTGCTGCCCTGTCATTTCGGGTGTGACAGGAATAGAGGTTTGTGTCACAGGGATGAAGATGGGTCACGGTGTCGCTGGGTGAAGAAGGCAAAGATTAACTAGCATTTTTCCTGCGTTACTTCACCACGATGAAGTGGCTCTAGTAATTCTGCAGTGCAAGCGGCGTTGGGTTGCTGTTGGCAACGGGATGTGGCTTCCCCGTGCGTGAACTTTTGGCTTCCCCTCCCTCTGCCCCAGCGCTGACCAGGCTGCAGGGCAGGGGGGAGCCCCGACCCGTGTTCCCGCTGTCCCGGGGCTCCTCCGCTGTCGCCCCCGGCTGTGGGACAGGGGCCACGCTCCCATCCCTCCCCGGCCCCGGCGCGGAGACCCTCCCCAGCAATGTCACCGCTCTGTGACCCCGCACTGACACTGGAGCGGCAGCGCCCGCCCCGTCCCCGTCCCTGTCCCTGTGCGGGCAGTGCCACCCCGGGGGCTCCATCCCCGCGGGCAGTCGCTCCTTCCCCATCCCGGGAAGGAGTTCCCAGGCGGATAACGGGTCCTGCGGCCCTTCCCGCTGCCCGGGCGGTGCCGGCTCAGCCTGGGGCTCGCCGCCGGCTCCTCGCGCGGTGCCGGTGCCGCCGCCCCGCCGGGGCTCAGGCGAGGCCGAGAGGCCGCGGCGGCCCCGCTGCGCCCGAGGGACGGGACGGGACGGCGCGGCCGGACGCCCCCGCGGCCCAGCCCGCCCCTCCCCGCCCGCGGAGGTGCCCCCGCGCCGTGGCGGCAGCGCCCGCCGGGGCCGGCACTTACTGCGCGCTCCCCGCCGAGGCGTCCGGTGCCCGCGGGGCGCGGGCGGAGCGGCCGCGGGGGCGCGCCCGGGGCCGGGCAGGGCCGCGCCGCACGGCCTCGCGCGCGCCGCCGCTGGCCCCGCCCCGCCGCGCGCTGCCTCAGCCCATTGGCCGGCGGGCGCGGGGCTCGGCTCGCGGTTGGTCAGCCCGGCTGTCACTCAGGCGCGCGGCGGGCGGGGCGCTCGCGGGGCTCTCCCTCACAGCCCTGCCCCGGCCCCGGGCCCGGCTCCTGGCTGTCCACGGCCCTGCCCCGCTGTCCACGGCCCTGCCCCGCTGCCCGCGGCCCTGCCCAGCTGCCCACGGCCCTGCCCGCGCCCCGGCCGAGTTCCCGGAGGGAGCCGGTTTCGCCCCCGGGCCTCGCCGGTAGCGGTGGCCGTGAGGTGAGGCGTCGCTGTGCGCGCGCTCGCCTCAGAGCAGCCCCCGGGCCCCGCCGCCCCTCAGGCCAAGGGGACACCCCCCTACCCGGGCTTGGTGTGCAGGGAAGGCCGGGAGGAGCGGCCGCGTGCCGGTCCGGCGGGGCTCTGTGGAGCACAGGTCCTGTGAGGAGCTGGGGGTGTTCAGCCTGGAGAAGAGGAGGCTCAGGGATGGCCTTACCACTCTCTACATCTCCCTGACAGGAGGGTGTAGCCAGGTGGGGATCGGGCTCTGCTCCCAGGTAACCAGCAGTGGGACAAGAGGGCTCGGTCTTAATCTGCGCCAGGGGAGGTTTAGGTGGAACAGTAGGAAGAAGCGCTACACAGAGAATGTGACTGGATGTCGGAATGGGCTGCCCAGGGAGGTAGTGGAGACTCCTTGTCTGGAGACCTTCCAAACCCTCCTAAATGTCTTCCTGGGTCACGTGCTCCAGGTGACCCTGCCTTGGGAGTGGGGTTGGACTCGACATTCTCCAGAACTCCCTTCCAACCCTAACGATTCTGTGATTAATAATGCCAGCAATGCCAGCATTGTTCCAGCTACGGTCAATTAAGGTCTTCTCTGCCTCCCTAACAACACTAATGCTTGCTAATGTTTTATTCCTTTAGTGCTCCCCTTGTGGCAGTATCCCCTAAACGGGGCCTTGGAGCGGGAAGCTGCCTGGGTAAACACTGTATCTGAGAGACTGCTTATGCTTAACATAAAGGCAGGTTTCATAAGGACTGTTTGTGTCTCTGCTGAGAGTAATGCAGAGGGTAAGGAGGGGATTCTTGAGCTCTTACAGCACCCACCCCTTTGCCAGGAGGTAGCAGGTGAGCCAGTCTGGAGATCTTTGCTGCAGGTTTTTCCTTCTGAGCTCTGTTTGATATTACAGAGGAGAGCAGTGGAGGCCTAACTGTCCCACAGTTTTGCTGTGCAGCAGGAGCAGGGCAGGTGCCCCATGGAGCACAGCTGTGGTGCCAGCGTCTGCCAGGCTGGAGCAGAGCTGGCATCCCCAGCTGTCCCTGCAGCAGCACTCCTGTGGGGCAGGGAGCTGCTCTGGGTGCTGCCAGCTGCTCAGGAGAGGGATTTAGCTGTGTGGTGCCTTTCTCAACTGGAGTAGAGGAGGTTGTGGCCTCTCCCAGACAGTGTTGAAAAGCAGCCATCAACAGAGGAATGGAAATGGGCTCTCAGGGAAACCCACAGTTGCTCCAGGGGCTGTGAGTCAGAAGGGGGGGGGGGCCTCATTTCAGATGGATCACAGCAGGAAAATGTGGTTGTTGTTCTGTTTGTTTCCCACTGTTCCAAGTGTGATATGCAGCAGCTGTTTTGTAAAATTTCATTTCCTTTGTCTCCTGCAGTCATCTTGTTTGTTTTTATTCTCTCTCTGTCTGGCTCTGCTTCTTTTCTCCTTTAGGAGACTGACTTCCCTCTGGCAGGGTTTACCCTTTCTGGCCTTTCCATCTTCCAAGTGTTTCTCTTCCCTCTGTTACACTGTGAGTTTTTTTCCTTTCTCTGCCCTTAGCAGCTCAGCTCTGGCCCTGTGACCCCTTGTTTGCCCTCTGGGGACGGTGACAGTGTGGAAGACCCTTGACCCACTGAGTCCAGGTCTTCTGTGAGCACCCCTGCTAACCTAGGACTTGGGGTTTATGAGCAGAGAAAGGAGTAAAAGAAAGAACTGGGGAGAGACTGAAGCTCTTCCTGCAGGGAGCCAGGGTGATCTGTGGAGTGGAGAGCCGAGGGCTGGAGCTGCAGGTTAGTATGTCAGTGGCTTTTTGGGAGCAAGAACAGGCAGGAGTGCTGTGCCTCTGTAGGCAGCTTGTTTCTGCCCTGCCGTGGGCAAGGACTGGCCTCTGACCTGTGGAGAAGTGGATTGCAGTGATAGAGCTGGTTGGCTGTCACCTGAGTCTTTTTTTGATGTAATCTTAGGCTGTGAGTAGTTGGTTTTATACCCGTGGGCAGGGGTTAGGGCAAGCAGTCTGTGTTCTGTCAGAGGGGAACCCGTGATTTGGTGAATTCAGCCTGTTCTCTTGCCTTGTTTTCTAGACCAGAAGAGCTGCAAAACAGTGCCATTGTCACGTTGCCCCGAGGAGAACCCACTGACTGTGGTCAGCTGGTGCTCAGCCACAGTGGCTGGTGTTGGCACCAGGTGTCCTGGGAGCCTCGGCACTGACTGGATCAGCAGGTGGCAACAAGGAACACGTGTGGAAACCAGAAACTGCACAACAATGAGATGCCTCAGCCATCCACTGCTCAGGAGGTTGTTGAGCCTCTCACCTCAGCACGTGCCAGGGCGATGGAGTCCAAGCGAAGCCGGTGTCCTCAGTCCAAACCAGTTGTCTCTGAGGCAGAGCTGCAGTGCAGGACCTGGGCTCCTGACTGCCACTGATACGGTCAACTACTGGCAGAAGGTGTTTGAGATAAATGGGATCCCCGAAGCACGAGAATCCAGTCAATACATTGTGTCATTTGTTCTGGGAGCAAAAACAGTTAAGTAATAGGAAAAGAATAAGGTCTGTGCTTGCCTCTCACTTTGTCATTTTGATTGAATCCCTTACCTTTGGTTTTATCTCACTTGTAGGGAATAGAACAACTTATCTTTCCTTAAATGGCAGAGAGGGTGAGCCATAGTTTATTATTGCCAGCACAGCACTTGGGGCCTCTTAAATGCTGTCCTTTGCAGGGACTGAAATTTAACCCATGACATATACATTTACGTCGATTTTGCCTGATGAAGTGATTCTTAATTTTACTTATTCTTGTGAGCCCCAAAAAGTAGCAGAACAGTTGTGTGGGTTTGTTTCTAAACATGCTGATAGGTCCTGTTCCAGCAGTCCCAGGTATATGTGATTGTCAATGCCCTGGACCTCCCTGGAGGATGCCCTTGGCAGGGTGGCAGAGGACACCCCAGTGGCACAAGGGGGCAGGTTTTAAAGTGACTTTGTCTTCAGTTTCAGAGCCTGAATTCCAAAAGCCTCCACACTCCACTTACAGCAATGCAGCAGGAGCAAATCCAGCAGCTGAGCAACAGGCGACTAGAAAGGTAAGAGCATTCTCTTATAGTTGTTCCTTTAGAGGGTTTTCCTTCAGCCTTAAATCAGCCAGAAGAATGGTAGCAGACAACAGCAGCTCAGATGTCAGGTAACAGTGCTGTGTTGGTCTCTAGTGGTAGGCAAAACTTTTCCACCTGATCCCCAGGGCCCTTCCTGCAAGGGTGCTGTCCAGCTGGTCAGCCCCTAGCCTGTACTGGTGCATGGGGTTATTCCTTCCCTGTTTGTAGGGCTTCATATTACCCTGCTGAATTTCTTGAGGTTCCTGTCAGCCCATTTCTCCGGAGGTCCCTCTGGAAAGCTGCACACCCATCTGGTCTGTTAACCACTCCTCCCAGTTTTCTGTCACCTGCAGAGATGCCAAGGGTGCTCTCTGTCCCTGCATTCAGGTCACTAACAAAGGTGCTATGCAGTATTGGCCCCCCTGTTGACCCCGGGGTACTCCACTAGTGATCAGCCTTCACCTGAGCCTTGCTCTGGTGAGCTCAGCCCTCTGGGCCACACAGTTCAGTCCGTTTTCAGTCCACCTCGTTTGTCTAGTCTGTACTTCAGCTGGTATATGAGGGAGTTATGGGATACAGTATCAAAGCCCTTGGGAAAGTCGAGATACACAGTATTTATTGATTGCTCTCCTCGAGCACCAAACTGGTCATGGGTGGCTACCAGGTCAGTCAGGAATGATATCCCCTTACTAAATCCGTGCTGACTGCGCCCAGTTCCCTTCCTGTACTTACTATGTTTGGAAGCAGTCTCTAGGGCTGCTTTGTTCCATCACTTTCCCCACTATCTATGTAAGGCTGACTGACCTGTAGTTCCCTGGGTCAGGTGCCTGATAACAAACTCAGCTGTGGGAACGCAGCTCCCCCAGAGTGCCCGTGCACATTGTTCACAGAGCTGAGCCTGGGGGGTGCAGCTGCTCCCCCTCAGAAGGGCTGTGAGCTCGGCAGTGTGAGCTCAGCAGTGAGGTGTGTGCCCAGCAGTGAGGTGTGTGCCCAGCAGTGAGGTGTGTGCTCAGCAGTGAGGTGTGTGCTCAGCAGTGAGGTGTGTGCTCAGCACTGAGGTGTGAGCTCAGCACTGAGGTGTGTGCCCGGCACTGAGGTGTGTGCCCAGCAGTGAGGTGTGTGCTCAGCACTGAGGTGTGTGCCCAGCAGTGAGGTGTGTGCCCAGCAGTGAGGTGTGAGCTCAGCACTGAGGTGTGAGCTCAGCACTGAGGTGTGTGCCCAGCAGTGAGGTGTGTGCCCAGCAGTGAGGTGTGTGCTCAGTAGCGAGGTAAGCGTGGCATGAGAGCTCCTCTGGCACATGGAGTGTAGTCCTAGGTGTTCACACTTGCTCTTGCCTGCCACAGGATGCCAGTGCAGTATGTGCTTGGTGAGTGGGACTTCCAGGACCTGACCCTGAAGATGAAACCCCCAGTATTCATTCCACGGCCTGAAACAGAGGTATGGCTGTGGGGGCTTGGGTGTGTGAGTTCTGTGACACAGCACAATCACAGCACTGCTGTGGAGTCACCCTGTGTGTCCTGAGGTTGTAGTGATGAGATCAGGTCATTCCACTTCTTTAAAACAAGGAGGGGATTCTAA